CCACCCTCCCCCTGCCTTAGCCCCCCCCTCCTCTGCCTCACACCACCTGTGGAGTCGGAGGATCTCGTACTCCGGGCGTCTCCAGACTTGGAGCCTTTGATACTGAACACAGACAGTGAGGAACAGAGCGAAGCCCCGCCCACTCAGCCCCAGGTCAGTCTGCTACAGGTGGGGGAGAAAATGGAGCCAGATTTGGTCTCACCCTTGCCTCAGGTTGCGGAGCCCGTCTCTTTTCCTATCACGATCCCCGGCTCCAACTCACATGCGCTGCCCAATTCTCAGTCTGGATGCCCCGGAAAATCTGATCCTCCTAGATCTGAAGAAGGGCCCGACACTATCTCTGAGAACAGGGAGGCCCCCGAGGTGACCGCAGACACGCCCGAACAGACAAACGCTCCGAGTGCGTCCGAAGCAGTCCCAGACGTTGAGGTCCTGGCAGAGAGCATGTACGGAGACTTCGACGCAGCCATGGACCATCTGCGCTACCGGTTGATCGCCACCAGGAACCCGGAGGAGATTCGAGGCGGCGGTCTGTTGAAGTACAGCAACCTGTTGGTCAGGGACTACCGACCGACCAGCGAGACGCAGATAAAGACGCTGGAGCGCTACATGTGCTCAAGGTTTTTCATCGATTTCCCGGACGTGCAGGAGCAGCAGAGGAAGATTCTGTCCTACTTGAAGAACCACTTCATCGGCGAGGAAAGAAGCAAGTACCAGTACCTGATGACGCTGCGCCGCGTGGTCGACGACAGCACGGTGTGTCTGATGGGACACGAGCGGCGCCAGACTCTTAACATGATCACTGTACTAGCACTGAAGGTTCTGGGAGAGCAGAACATAATCCCCAACACAGACCATGTGACATGCTTCTACCAGCCTGCCCCTTACCTGGCAGAGCACAGTGCCCCCTACCTGGCAGAACCCAGCTACTGCAGCTACTATATACCCCAGGGTGCAGGGACAACTCTGCTCTATCAACCTTACCCCTTACACCTACACTCACAGACTGGACTGGTCTAACACACACACACACATATACACACACACAAACACCACATGACTGAGCACGACTAAAGTAATCTGATAATCTGAAAAATGGAAATATAATCCAGGGATAAACTGTTTGGTCTATAGTAGACCTTTGGGGGAGGGGGGGAGTCGGAGGAGGAGATGGGAGGGAAGGGGTGAGGGACTCTGTGTGGTTAGGATTTTAGACAAATGCTGTCTGCACTGCATGAGTCATAGCCCTGTGAGATATCAACTGTGCTGTTGACATTCACACACACACACACACACACATACACGAACGAATGCCAGACACATGCATCACACACGCTCGTGCACACTTCCAGGTTCTTCTTGAATTCCTGTAAAATGTTCATGTTCTTACCGTGTTGTTCTCAGTGGGTTTGTTCAGAGTGTGGACCTCGCCTGTGGTTGATGTTGTGCATGGATACGTTAGGACTGTTCTCTCACTGCCAAATACTGTGTGACTTCTATGCTTCTCCACCAGTTTAATGTAACGGTGTTGTTCCTTTACCCGGGGGGAGGGGCTAATCCTGAAAAAGAAAAAAAAATTATCTGAAGAGATAATTTTACTGGTGTGTACAGTACTTTAACCAACACACACACACACAGACACATGCATGCAGAACACACACACACACAGAGAATACTGTACGCACATCATTTCAGACAATGCATGAGTAGCTCAATAAGACGATTCCATCTTGAAGTCAAAACAAAGGCTTTTAATATTATTGAAAAAAAAAATCTATCTATTTTTGCAAGACTTTACAAGATAATCCTCAGCGGTCCGACTGCCGGTCCGACCGCTGGTCCGACCGCCGGTTTGTTCATACAGAAAAATGTAAAACAACGACGACTTTGCAACTGACTGTACAGCATATTGAATACAAACGTATGGTTTGCAAATACACTGCGTTGTTTCCAGGTGACTTGTGTTGAGATGTAGTGCTTGAGTTCTTTCCTTGTGGAGTCCTTTCCGTAACCACGTGCAGTACTGTACCGACTCGTGTTGATTTGTTCTCGATGATGAGGTTTTACGACGGGAGGCGGTCAAGTTCTCGCCATCTTTGGGTCATCTCTGGAGATCTGCAAACTCTGATTCCATCCAAGGCGGCGCGACTCATCCTCTCCTCCTCCTCTCCTCCGCCTGAGTCGACGTCCTCCAAGTTCTCTGGGTCGGTCAGAACCGACCAGGTCAAATCCACACCAAGTCCGTTTGAAACTTACTTTGAAACCGTGCGACAGCAACAACGACCAAAGATGGTTCTGTAGGGAATCAAGTGCCTAAATGTGAGACATGATTGGCATGTCTTTATCTCACTGCACTGGGGCTGTACGGGGGGGAGGTGGGAGGGGGGTGAGAACGGGGCAGGGTGGGGTGTGTGTCCAGCTGTTGACCCCTGTTATTGCTGCCCGTTTTGATGTCTTCTTTAATGTTGTCCTTTGCTGTAATTTGTTCATGTACATTTTTGATAAAATAAAGAGGAAAATCAAGTTCATTTACGGAAATTTTATTCTTTTTTTAATTGGTTAAATTTTCTTCGTGGCACAGTAATTAACAAGTCGATAATGTTCTGTTTTAGTTAGAATTAGGGATTAAAATTGGGATTTTTTTAAAAAAAAACCCCTCAAAATGTCAACCCTTAAATAAAGTTGATTTTAAGTGAACATAGTTTTAATGTGGGAGTCACGTTACAGAAATATAAACAATTTTAGGTAGAAGAGAACAGCGACACTATGTTGTTTTGCAATATATCGCAATATGGCCCCTGTATCGCGATACTTATCGCATCGCCAGAACCTTGCCAATACACACCCCTATGGTCCAGTGTGTGTGTGTGTGTGTGTTTCAGGTACATGTGTGCAGAGGCGGTGTCAGATGATGCCCCCTCTCCACCCCATAATTGAAGAGAGCAGCAGTGTAATGATATAATGGAGCTCCTCTCTCACTCCCTTGTCACCTCCCCCCTCCTCTCCTCCACACCACTGATAAGTAATAAGCACACAGGGAGATGGGGCATCTCTGGGCAGGGGGGAGCCTGGCGTGGCGGCAGGTTGAAGCGGTGGAATGATCACACACACACACACAAGAGGGATCGGTGTCTCGGTGTCTCTCAGACCTCTGAGGTTCTCGTGTCCACTTGGGGTTTCCATAGAGACAGAGACAGGCTGCACCGTGGGTGCAGGGAGCACGACGCGAGACGGAAAAACCCACACACAGAAGACGGGGGTGAGAGAGATGAAAACAGATCAGAGGGTGACGGGGGCGGGGGGTAAAAATGACACAGAGGACGATAGTGGACACGGCGACACAGAGAGACGGATGGCGGTCGGTGGGCGGAGCAGTGCGGGGTGTAGAATGAATCGTGGTAGGAGGAGAGGAGGCAGGGGAGATGATGGGGGAGAGTGTGGGAGGTTGTCAGGCCCTCAGTCACAAGGGAGTCACTGTGAGGTGGATGCAGTGACGGCAGCAGTGATGTCAGAGCACACACACATCTACACACAGCCGCACGCACACACATCACTACAACAGTATGTACCATGTATGTACACACGCACCCCATCCATTCATCCATCCATCCATCCATCCATCCATCCATTCATTCATTCATTCAGAATCATTCACACTGAGTCCAACTGTCATTCCTACAACTTCACCCTCTCTCCCCCCTCCACCTCACCCCTCCACCTCACCCCTCCCTTCTATTCTGAGCCTCACACTGAACTTTAATTACTCCACTCACACACATTTTAATAGTTCACTGACCCATAGTGTAGAGTGAGAATGAGTCAAAAAGTCAAAACTGTATTTCCGCATGTTAATAGCGGGAATGTAATCTAATCTAACCCTAATCTAATCTGATCTAACCTAATCTAATCTGATCTGATCTGATCTAACCTAACCAAATCTAATCTAGTCTAATCTAATCTAGTCTAATCTAATCTAATCTAATCTGATCTGATATATTCTAGTCTAATCTGAATGTATCATCATTCATATAAACAATCTGGAGTGGAGGAGTTCTTTTTCAAGCATCAAAAATTTTCAGGACTGGGATTCAAACCAACCACTTGGCTTTTGACTAGTGGTGGGAGGGTGATGGGGGTGATGAGGAGGGGGGCAGCAGATTTGGACAGACATTTCACGTCTCATCCAGGATCTTTCTTCAGCGTCTGTGTCTCTCGACAACGGTGGATGGATGTGTGTACCCAGGTGAAGTACTCTGTGTACTGAGTACTGTGGAACAGGTACTCTGACGTCATCAGTGACAGGTCAAACCATTTGTGTGTTTAAGTTGATGATTGTATTTGTGGTGGGTGGGTGGAGGGGGCTGAATGTGTGTGTGCTGCTGTTTCCACTGAAGCATGTGTTAACGTGGGACTGGAGGAAGAGGAGGAGAGTGTGTGTGTGTGTGTGTCGACACTGATTGACGTCACAGACGCCCACTCATTTCCATGTTGTCTGCGTGTGTGGAGAGAATAGATCCCCATCTGCATCCAGCTCCTCTCCCTCCCCTCTCCTCCCCCCCACCTCCCTGAGACACACTCATCACCCTGCTACTTCCCATTCACACGCTCCCCTACATCGCGGCCCCAGAGAGTGCACTGAGGCTGGCAGATAAACAGCACGGCTGAGCACAAACACACAAACACAGCCAGACATCAACATCCACCCTGGGAGCAACATGCAGCCCCCCCCCGTACTCCCCCTCCCCCCCAGACTCCCCCTTCTCCACTTAGCATCTGTTTATCTCTGCCATCGACCCAGGTCCAGATGACATCTGACTCCATTTGGCGTTTTCACACCAAAATGTGAAAAAGTACCTGCCAGCACCTCCTGCTGGTGTGTGTGAGGGTGTGACTTTTTTTTTTTCTACAACAAACGCTCGTCTACACCCACCTCCACCATCCCTGGTGACAATTGGACATCATTTACATCACATCTTGGTAAAAGGTCGTCTTCGCCCTTTACACAGAACCCCCCCACACACACACACACACATCCTCCCCCCCCCTACCACCACCCACAGGATGGGGTGGGTGGGGGTAAACAC